GAAGACGGGCTGAGGAAGTTGGGGCTGTTCAGCCTGGAGAAGAGAAGGCTGCGTGGAAACCTCATAGCAGCCTTCCAGTATCTGAAGGGGGCCTATAGGGATGCTGGGGAGGGACTCTTCATTAGGGACTGTAGTGATAGGACAAGGGGCAACGGGTTAAAACTTAAACAGGGGAAGTTTAGGTTGGATATAAGAAGGAAATTCTTTCCTGTTAGGGTGGTGAGGCACTGGAATGGGTTGCCCAGGGAGGCTGTGAATGCTCCATCCCTGGCAGCGTTCAAGACCAGGTTGGACGAGGCCCTGGGTGATATGATTTAGCGTAAGGTATCCCTGCCCACGGCAGGGGGTTGGAACTTGATGATCTTAAGGTCCTTTCCAACCCTAACAATTCTATGATTCTATGATCCTCTAGCCCAGATGCCTGTTAAATTGGTTTTAGTTGAATCAAACATGTGCAAAGGGGAGAAAAATGCCTTTAAGCAACAATATGAAAACTGCATTGAAAAGAATTCCTATTTATATATGTTAAAGGCAATATCTGTCAGTGCTGGCTGTTTAAAACACTGCAAGAAGGTAGCTTGTGGGAACACTGAACCCAGTTTTCCTCCAGTGACTTTCCTGCACTGTGTGAAACAGGGCTGTGGTGCTGCTGAGGCTCTGGTTTGTAGCTCAGAAGTCTATATAAATGAACAACAAGTTGCTGATGCAAGCTGTAAATAAAATGGGAACTAATACCTCTGTCTGCACAGCCTCCACACACACACACACCCCCCCCCCCCCAATGTGCATTAGTGTTCACTGTAGTTAACTGAGACCTTAAGCAGAGGGAGGAGGACAGGACATCCATATGGCTGGTGTTTTGTTCTCTGTGGTTGCCCTGTTAATGGGCATATGGTCTGCTGGGCAATGCAGCCGGGTGGGCTGGCTGTGTGCCCGATAGATGTGGTGGGAGCCTGACAGGGCTCACCTGAAGCCACCTTTCCCATTTGGCAGCAGAGCTTTCCAGCTGCAGCTCTTTGAGAAGGGCAGACGGTGCCTTGGCATTTGGAAGTGGAAAGTTTTGAAGGGAAAATCTTTCTGGTGCCGATGTGAGCTGTGAATTTATTCTGCCCATCTACAGGCATCCCTACGCGTAACTACTTGCCAGGACCTAATGGATGCCATGCATGTTGGCCACCTGCTCAGCTCCTTTAAAGCAGAAATACTCCAAGTGACTATGTTGACTGCCTCAGTGTTTTATAGGAATGTATGTTTATCAGGCATCTGTTTCATTTCATGGGGCTTGGCTCTTTATTCCCTAAAGCTACTTGCAATTCCAGTCACTGAACAGGAAGCAATCCTCCTCTGCAACAGACTGAATGAATGGAGAATCAGGCCCTTGAAGTACATGGTTTTCTTGATGGTTCTATTGAGGGGAGCAGAGCAAAGGGATTTGAAATTTCAGGGTTTCTGACAGTTCCACTAAGGCAATGTTCATATTTAATAGCATTCCTCTACTTGTTTTCATCTGCTTGCTCCTTTTCAAAAAGAATTCCTTAAGGATTGCTTATTCTTCTGCAAGAGTTTCTTAGCAAAAAACAGATAAATTGTTGTGTATCCTTTTTGTAAAATGGACCAATTTGAATTGACTATAAACAGCAGCAAAGATAGGAAAAAAGTCCTTCTTTTTAACTTATCTATGGAAGAGAAACAACGCGCTCATATTTTCTCGTTCCTATGATAAAAATGTTCTGTCTTTTCTCTGATTCTGGTGCTTTACTATAGGTGAAGTCTAGATTTTTGAGAGAGATCTGATCCAAAACGTTAATTAAGATGAAGAAGTCATTTGCTGGCAGTTTGGGGATCTGTTTCAAAGCTGGATAGCCAGCAATGGGTCAGAGATCAAGGCTGGAGCCCAGCAGAGAGCAGTCATCTCATTCAGTGATGCTTTCAATGTTTCAAAATGGAGTTTGTTCTGATTCAGGGTGAAAATCAAGCACACATTTCTGAGCTCCAGCTGCCAGCCTCTAACTCCAGAATTCAGGAATTTGAAGAACTAACAAATGGAACGGGCTGTGGCATGAGATGACCCCATGTGGTGCAGCTGAGACAGTCACAGGTTGAGTCTTTGCAGATTCACACATTCCTAAGGACCAGCTGAGGCTGGCAGTGTCAGCACGCTGTGCCAGGCTCCCAGGCGGCACCTCTCTATCTTGCTTTGGGATACAGATCCTGAAGTAAAGAGCTTGGGAATGAGGTTGAAACCAGCTTCTGAAATCTTGCTGTGTTCTCTGACTCTTCAAATCCTAAGGTACAGCCTCTTCATTCAGAAAGGTGGAGAATGGGAATCTAGTAACTGTATATTTATCTCACAAAAGAACATTGCTATTTCAAGTCTTTGAAGACTGAGAAACTTGATGTTGTCTCCTCCTGGAGGGGCTAAGAAGTATGTCTACATGTGAGCACAAATGTGGTGGGGGAATAGTTACATCCTAGCTAAGGTATGTATGGAGCACCCTGCATTGCACACAGCTGTGGTCTCTAAGAATCAGAAACCCAGGTGACTCTTCGAACCTTCTGCCCAGGCTCTGGGGCCACTTGCAGTCTTGGTTGGTTCCAGCTCTGGGGGCAGCACTTCACTCTGTGTATTTCCTACCTATGCTGAGCAGATCCATGCCCCTCCAGAGGCACAGTACCGAAGGAAAACAACATGTGTGCTAAGCAGCTTGTAAGTGAAGGAAGATGAGCTTACGTGAGACGGCAGGAACTGTGTCATTAGTGTGTAATTTCTGCTCCATCCTTGCTCAGTGGGGATGCGGGAACAGAGCTCTCCAGTGGTCCTGAGCTGCCAGAGTTGGCAGCTGAGCTCCACTGCTCTGCCCCAGATGTTCAGCTCCTGGGGAGAAGGACTATGCATTGGGAAGAACAAACTGACATCCCTTTTCCTAAGCCAGCATTTATAAATTCGGATAAGCATGGATTTTAACAGAAAAACAATTAACTTGCTGTCTTTTAGAAGTAAGGAATATCTCATTCTTTTTCTTCCTGCAGTCCAATAGCATTCTTTCTTCTTTTTACTGAATATGATTGTGCTCAACTACTCCAGGGTGCAGGAAACTCCAAACAGCAAAAATCCATTTTGTTTTTCTAATTTTGCCCCAATAACAAAGAGAAATCTGCTATAAATTCTCTGTTAAAAATAATGCAGACTTGAGCACATCTGTCCATTTGTGCCTAATCTTTTAAACAATTAGACACATCAAAGCATTTAGATTTGCTGACTTTTGCAAATTATCATCATCATCATGTACAACAAATAGTGCCACATGACATTTTCTATCAGGGAAGATAAAATAAGGAAGTGCACAGCATAGAAGGGACTATGTATTCCTGCACAGTCCCTCCTACTCCTGCTGCTGGGTTTTGGAGAGCAATGTGGCTGTGATTGCGCACCCCTGCCTGCCATGAAGTGTCCACTCTGTCCTGTTCAAAACGACCCATCTCCACCTATTGTGTTTCACAGCTGCTGTGCAGGAAAGACCAGTCTCTGCATGAGGAATTTCATGTTTAAATAGTTAAAATCAGTATTTGTACTTGATCTTCAAAGACTTTGACTCATTGCTCCTTTTTCCCAGGAATACCTGCCTTCATCTGTCTCATCCTATCAGTCTTCTGGTTTCTACAGTTGAACATGGTTTCCTCTTTTTGTCAGTCAGGAAAATCATGCCACTGTGGGGCGATACAAGATGTGTGTTGCAGGACACATGGAGGATATCAGTTTTGTTGCATTCCAGCTTTCACTGTAGCCATTTACAGTCTCAGGTTTTCTGGTCTTTTGGTAAGGCTTTATTTAAGAAAATTAAATTTGTTGAGACCAACATAAAGGGAATGTCAAATGAAATGGCATCTAAAACAAGTCCTCTCCATTCCTCTTCCAAATAACCCACTCTTTTTGCTTAAAGAGTATTCTTAAAATGGCTTAATCTTTCCTACTTCTGAAGCATGCTTATGCTCTGGTGCAATGCTAAAGTGTGAGTTGAAAAAAAGACATCCCAAAAGGTTAAGAAAACAGCATCAAATTTTATCACACGTATTTTACACATGACAAATATTACACATTTTCTCATATTACACATTAGGAAAAAAATAGTCTTAGACTAATAATTTGAGAGCATTTTATATTAAAGCAGCGAGAAGACTCCATTTCTCTCTCTGTAAAACTGTATCAATCTCTTCACCACTGAAAGTTCTTGGAGACTTTGCAACATCCTGGCTGATGAAAACAACAGTCAGCTGTGAGAATCAATCAGCTATTCCTTCCTAGAGGATTGCTGATTGATCTCCCTTCCTAGAGGAATTGCTAGGATTTGATCTTGACTTTTATAGGCTCTTTAGATTCAATCATTAAAGTCTTTTTTTTTGCCATTAATTTCAGAGGTATTCAAACAATTTGCTTATCCATCAAATCCATGCCTCTCCAGCTTAGAGACAAGAATGTTGTGCAGGATATGTGTGAAATGCTTTGGACAAGCCCAGGTAGATGACATCAGTCACTCTTCCCTTATCCACCAGTGCTGTAACCCTGTCATAGAGGGCCACCAAATTTGTCAGGCACTGTTTGCCTTTAGTTGAAGCCGTACTGGCTGTCACCAAGCACCTTCTTATTTTCCGTGTGTGTTAGCATAGTTTCCAGAAGGATCTGCTCCATGATCTTCCCAGACACTGAGGTGAGACCGACTGGTCTGTAGGTCCCCAGGTTCCTCTCTTTGCAAAGGTAAGTGTGAAGGCCTATTTGTGATATTTTTTCTTGGTAAAGACACCTTTGCAAGTCAGATAGATAGACACTGTTAGAAACTGTGATATCTGAAGTCTAAAAGCCTAATAGGGTTTTGCTAACACAGGTGCTTGTATATGGATATATCATAATCCTGCAGGTAATCAACATCAAAGTGGGCTGAGCCAGGGTAAGTAACCAAAGTTGCTAGTGGAATAGCCAGGCTCCTGAACTTAAAGCAGGGAGGATGTCCATGCTCTCCCAGGTGTGCCTGACTCCAGAGCTGATAACCTGGGATGCAAAGCAATCCAGAGTCCATAAGACACATGGCTGGATCCGTGTGTGCTCGGTTTCTTACTGGCTGCTGCTCCTGCAGCATGTAGGAGCATGTGGAGGGCTGTCGTCAGAGTTGTACTGAAGGAAAGCTCAAAGGGACAATGACAGCTTGGCTTTTCTGTTTTTTTTTTTAACTCTATCACTCAGCTGCACTGAAGCCTGACACCTCTGGCAACCAGTGGTGAAGCAGTGAGAAGCTGGTTTTGTTGCTGCTCTTTACGAGAGAAGCCTGGCTGCATTAACTCTTAGGGAGACAAGCACCTAGACATCTCGAACAAAACACAGTGATGGAGGTCGGCTCCACAGAAGCCAGCAGCAGCTCCCAGGGAAGCACCGGCTGGCTGGATCTCACCCTTGTCACCTGCACTGAAACGGTGACTTTCACTGAAGTGGTGGCAGAAGAGGAGTGGGGATCCTTTTACTATTCTTTTAAGGTATCCTTTTAAAGTGTGCATTACTTTACTCACATGTTACCAGATCTAGTGCTTTTTCAGCACCCCTGCGGGGAGGCAACTGAGATTATTGAACTTTCTTGCCTAGATATTGGTGTTTCCCCCCCTGCAAAGACAGCTGGCAGCATGTGTGAGGCTTTTATTGAAAAACAAAACAGTTGTAGGAATTGGAGTTCAGAGTTTCAGGTCTCAGTCAATTGCATCCCCTTCCAAGAGGGGACGATGCTGTTTTTCTGTAGAGGTGTTTTAACTATACATGCATCTTTAATCAAAGCTTGTCTTAGTTTGACACATCCTTTATGTCATTTCTTATAGCCATCATCTTGACATAAGGGATTTCTTTTCCATTTTCCAGCTGCAACAAACACTACACAGGTGAGAGGGGTTTGTGTTGGTTTGGGGGCTTTTTAATCACAGAGGACAAGCTCTAATTAATTGGTTGGTTTGTTTTTAACTTGAGCAGGGGATGCAGAGTCTCTGTAATGCTGCTGCTAAGAATGCACTAGATGAATCATTTAGTAGTGAATGCTGTTGAATGACATGGGAAGTGTATTCACTCATCTCCGAAAACAAACATCACCCCCTGCAATATGGGAATATAGGGAAAAGAGGTGCTGAAATTCATCTTTCTTTCAGATTCCTGTGCCTGTTGTCAATTCTATTAAGCAATGAATTAGGAAATTATTAATTAATTAAATTGTTCATGCTGTGTGCCATGAGTCACTTTACTGTTGTGCCACATTGTGCAAGTTAAGTTGAAGTTACTACAAAGTCTGACAAGCTGTACCCTGCCATTCATTCTGGAGCTCAGGCCCAAAGACATCACTTCCAACTGGAAAGATACAGGCACTTAGCTCATTTGACAATATGTTAGGTAAAAGGGTGTATGTTCAGAAGCAGTTTTGATTTCTGTGAGATTGTTCATGCTCTGACACAATGCAGGAATTACAACAGGTTTCCATACCTGTTGAGGAAAAACTTCAGCAGTAGCTCTACAATTAATTAATGGGGGCCTCTTTTAACATATCACTGATACATTTTTTCCTTGATAAGACAGTATTTTCTTATCTAGGATTTCAAGGATGAAAATTCCTTTTTCCCCCTCTTTTTTTCCTCTCCATGTTAGACTCCTCAAATGCTCTTGATTGATAAAAATCAGAAATGACAAGCAAAATATTTTTAACAACTTTATCTCTTTTGTTCTTTCCAAAGTTTAGTGCTGTGAAACTGAACAATGTCATGGGAGCAGTATTTTATAATGGTAAAAGTGACAATTAATTCTGATTAGAAAGTCCCCAGGCAGAAAAATGCTCCTTAATAAGGGAGATTGAGTAAATTACAATAATTAGGAAACCATGGATAATCATGCATGCTCATCCATTGCTAAAGGAAACTTGATTTTGTTAGCTGAGAGCTTCTCATTAGGCTTGGACTCCTCTGTCGGAAATCTATCTATCTCTGGCACACATAGCATGAACTTTGCGAGGAGGTTCACTGATTTCACATCAATTACTAGCTGTTAATAGGCATGGCAATATTTTGACTCTGGAGACAAGTGACAGCTGGTGCTGCTGCAGGAAAGCAGGGATAAAGCACCTGCTCTGATGGTGGTGGTGCAGGGAAGACAGGGCTCCCTGCCAGCAATCTCAGTGCTCTGTAAAAGCTTCACGTGTAGAAGGTGCTGCTCATACCTGCTGACTCAGTTGGCTGTCCTCCACCAGCGCTGCCCACATTGTGTCTGTTTCCTTGCAACCTCCAGTGAGCCAAGGAACATCTTCTTCACAAGGATCTGGTTAAGCAGCTAAAGTAATAAAAGTTTCAACTTGGAATAGGCTGAATGGGTTAAAAACCAGAGCTCAGTGCTCAAAATGTAGCTACAAAAGGGGGTTTTGGTCTTTTACTGGGATTTTCAAACACACTGTAGCCCATGGTTGACAGTAAAGGCAGGCTGGGTGAATGGCCACAGCAAAGGTTGACCCCAGTGCCTGCTTGTCAGGAAGCAGGCAGGACATACAAGATATTTCTGCTTGTGACCTGTCTTACCAAAGCTGTTGTAGGAAAACATGATTCAAGCTGCTAAGTGACAACAAGGGAGTGATGCTCACCCGGTATCTGGAGCAGTTCCTGTGTTAATGACTAACAATTTTTCCCAATGACAGCTACACAGTGTGTATCTCGCACTGCTTGAACTATGGGAGCATGCACTGTTTCTTCTTCTCCTCCCATGCTTCAGAAAGACACAAGGAAGAAATAAGACAGGACACATATAGGGAAGAATTTCTTCCCTGTGAGGGTGTTGAGGTGCTGGCACAGGGTGCCCAGAGAAGCTGTGGCTGCCCCATCACTGGCAGCGTTCAAGGCCAGGTTGGACACAGGGGCTTGGAGCAAGCTGCTCTAGTGGAACGTGTCCCTGCCCATGGCAGGGGGGTGGAACTGGATGAGCTTTCCCACACTGTGAGTGCTTCTCTGCTTCCTCTCTCAGAAGCATTTTTCTGTCTACTCCTGTTCATAGCTTAACAACTAAATCCGCACTGCTTCAGATTAGAAAGCATTTTGTCCGTTCAGTTTGATTTCTTCTCTTTATTAATTTTGGCTGGGAGATGGAGCATTTCATCCACTTGGAAGATTGCACAATTCCCTTCTGATAGTCATTACCAGAGCTCCTTGGCCAGCTGCTCACCGAGTCTTCACCTGTAAGTCTGCTTTGGGGACACAGCCATGTGTGCGAGCTAGGCTGGCTCTTGGCATGAAGAGTTGCAGCCTTTGGGGCAGGACTGGGTGCATCCACACATCACTGAGTATGGAAGAGGAGCTGGTGCATGGCAAAGGCGCTGCCTCATCCCCATCTTCCTTATACACATCATATATATTCATGTCTTGCAGCTGTGTTATGGCAAATGCTCCCTGAAACCTACCGTATTTCTTTCCGGGTGCCTGTACATGAGGCATCCAGGTAGGTCACTGTCTTAAACCACAAGAAGTCCTGTTGGCTGAGTCAGCACCAAATTCAGAACAGATGTGCAAAGGGGTATTAACTACAGCTCCAACCTTCCAGGCCAAAGGAGAGTTCATTGCATCCCTTTACAACCTCTTCCGTAAGAATTTAGTCTATGTGTAAAAGGGCTTTAAGAAGAGTGTCAACTACCATCTGCCAAAAACAGTAACCTGAAAAGAACAGAGATCCTCTGAACACATGTGGCCTTCCTCTGCTTTAGGACCTTCTTAACTCTACAAATCTGACAAAGTGCAGACCAGAAACCTGCCTGGAGAGAAGTTAAAATCTCAGAATAGGTTTGTGCTGGTTGGCCACAGGGTTGGGAAGCTTCATCAGGCCTGAAGGAGGCATCTCCACTTGCCAGGCCCCCAACAGACCCAAAGCTTCCCCAATGGTAGGAGCATGTGCTCCCCTCAGAGGGGATTGAGTGGAAGTCATATCTTTTTTTAAGGGGTGTGCTGAGAAATGGGATGTCCTACTTTTATGCAACAGAGTAAAGGCTGGAGTGCTCAAAGGAGAAAAGTTACAGCCACTGTTTCTTTCTTGGTGGTACTGTTCTCACCATCATCTCCTGCCTCCCAGGAGAGAGGGCTGACTGCTGTCATCCAGTACATTTTCTCATTGTGTTTTCTGATGTGTGGAGCTGAGCCCTCACCTGTGCAGCAGGACACAAAGGTTTTGTAGTTTACACTCAAAGTTGTTTGGGAACCCCATCTCTCCCCTGCCAGGTGGGAATCCCAGCCACTTGTCTACATGTTGACATCCCCCTTCCTCTGGATGCAGAAACCCTGGTCCCTGTGCCATGCAGCATCACCACAGTAGTGATGCTGAAGTGCTAGAGCTCTTAGAAGGAATATTTCCTTAGAAAGGAAAGGAACATCAGTTGCTCAGAAGGAACAAACCAATTGAATCCACCACAACTGGTTTCATATGTATAATCTGAATTCCCATGTTTCAGGAAGGATAGTTTGCCAGTACCACATTGGTAGCACTGCTTACACCTGCATGTTTTAGCCCACATAGCTTAGATACTAAACAGGACTGCTTAGGTATGCCAGAGTAAGCACAAATCAAAGCGCATGTGCTGCTTATCCGTGGAGCCTAATGCTCTTGACAAAGGTCAGGGCTTACCATCTCCAGCAAAGGGCTGAGGAGACCAGCTTGTGGAGACAAGGTTTGCATAGACTTGTTTTATAAGACTGCCAGGTATCAAGGATTTGGCTCCAGGTGCCCTCAGAGCCTGTTTAAGTCAGAATCTGATGTTCATCCAAATGCAGGAGCCTCTTTACCTCCTGGAAAGCATTTACCCATGCTATTGCTTATTCTGATTTTCAAGCAAACCTCAGAAAGAATCCCATCATTGAATACACAGTAGAAAAATAATAATGGGCACTATCAAATTTCTGGAGTAATCTCTGCAAATGCAATCATACCTTTTAGAAAAATAGGCATATCAAATAATTCATAAGTAACTTTGCAGTCTTTCAGTGGGGGGGAGAGGAGAAGAATTACATCTACACAAATAAGGTGTCAGGAACTCCTGAACACAGCCTCTGCAATGTAATGACTGTTGCTATTCCTAAGATGCTGTGCTGAGAATGTAATAGCTGATCTCCGTGTGACACTGCTGCTGCAGTGTTGGCTAGGCTGGCTTCATCTAGTAGTTTAAATGCAACACAGAAGTGATCTGGCTGCGTGACAGCCCGGCAGCTCTGAGCCAACTGATTCGGGTAGTATTATACTAGCAACCCTCAAACTTCTGACTCCATGGTCCACACAGCCTCAGGGTTTGTGTCTGTCTGCCTCTCCTACATAAATATGCCTAGTAAGGATGAATGTCTCCATTTTTTTGAGATGTTTTAATTGTACAGATTAGCTATACTTAACCATTTTACCTCTTTTCATGATTAAACCAGCATTTGACAGTTTCGAAAGAGCTATCCATCTAATTATGCATGGACCATTGAGTGACCTAATATTATCTCTT